TTCTTAAGTTTCCTTTTAAACTGGCTGCGATTATTTTCAAAATCATGTTCAACCACAATCTGTCAAATTTTGAAATGGGGATTGTTTATTTTTTTAGAGATTAAGTTTGGCCTGACAATGACATATTGTCTTAAATACTTCTTTGTTAACATACATGTCAAAAATCAACTGCGTAAATTAACATATTTCTGATTTGTTTTTCTTCTTGGCCAGACATTTCAGCCTTTGAACCTTAAATTATAAATCCTTTTCACTTTTTAAGTAATTTGTTTTCTTTTTGTCATGTCTTGGACTAACATGTTTTTTAAGTTACTTGATACATGTGTCACTCAGACTTCGAAAATTAACTACATACAGGCATGTTACAAAATTAAGAAAAAAATGTTTTTTTTTAAAAAGGATGGATATCTTCAAAGTTTACTATGTCAAATTTGTTCTTTTCCCACACACACACTAAATACTATACCGAAGAAAAAATACTTTGTTTAAGACGTAAAAAGACTGCGCCTAAAAAGCGGTCCATCCCAAAGTGATGGATTGATGGATGGAGTGATTGTTGATGATATGACAGGTGTTTCTAGGGTGTAAGTGTATGCTAACTCTTCTTACAACACTTGTCAGTTCGATAAGAGCTTATCTTTCACAGCTGTCCTGTTAAAAAATTCAGGAAACTCAGTCTACAGGAAAGAAATAGTACAAAGATTTCGAGGTTAAAGGGATTGTAAAGAGTTTTTTTTAACTTTTTATTTGTAGTGGTGACACTGATGGCATTGATTGGCTGAATTCAAATTTTCACTGCGGTTTTTGCAATTCCACTAAACCTATGCCAAAGGCCCTTAGATAGTTTCAGCAGAGCGTTTGCGAGCTGTCAGTGCACTGAAAGGCTCTGAATTACCTTATATACTACCAATGGCTGCATTGACACTCAATGGCACTTACTGTATACACATCGGCTTAGTATTTCTTGCAAACAGTTCATGCTTGTTAGTACTTTACTCATTGACAGTATTTGCGCTTATTTTGCGCTGTGTTCACGGCTGGAATATACAAGTAACAAGCAACTTCTTAAGTATACCAATTTTATAAACATTTCAAAATTATCTCTATGACGTTGCATTCTTCGCACACTTTTCAAGCTAGTTCTCGAAGACTCGAGTAATTGGCACGCTGATGTGCGTGCCTTTATCCAAAGAGAATACGTGCATGTGTCAATGTGACTAGCTACTAATGTTCATTTGATAACTTGAATATCAAAAAGAAGTATTTATTAGTCAGTCTGTATTTGTACTATGCATTTGAATTATACACTTATTATAAATATCAAATTAAAAAGCTCAAAGTAAATTGATCAGGTGACTTCATTGCGTGACTGATAATTTGACTAATGAAATAAATATAAATATGTCTGAGAACTAATCAATAAAATTTTTATTTTAAAGGAATCCAAAACTCAAATATTATATTTTTAGTATCCTGGTATACATACATACACTTTCATATACATATACTTTCATATACATACATATACTTTCATATACATATACTTTCATATACATACATATACTTTCATATACATACATATACTTTCATATACATATACTTTCATATACATACATATACTTTCATATACATATACTTTCATATACATACATATACTTTCATATATTGCGATGGCTACTCGTACTGCAATGGTACATAAATGGCCATCCCTAACTAAGTGTCTTAATATCATTCTTGACTATCAAAATGGCTTCATGCTTAAAAAACCCAAAACTAGCGCACCTATTGTGTCTTTTCTTATCCTTACCATTAGCAGCCAAAGAGATCACACATTGTGACGTTGCAAATAGCCATTGCGTTCATATATACTATACAATTTTCCAATCAACTTACAATCTTTTGCCTTAGACTTTCCAAGTTAAAGTCTTTATTGCAAACCTAAGAAATTTGTGTGTAAGTCTGTCAATTTTTGAGGTGCAACTATAAGTTTTTTCAACCCATTTCATACCTATTGGTGATGCAAGTAAATGGGCAAATTGTGTATACACTGAGTTGCAATAAACAGCTTGTGCTTCATAATGTGCATATTGATAATCCATCTATTTGTCTATTTTTACCTCAATGTGTGTACTCCATTCCATTTCATTTTGATTTGCTTCTCTTAAGTTTTCAATTGCATAATAATATATTTTCAATGGGAGCTGCACACCAGTATTTAATACTTTCTGCCATTAAGTTAAACAATATAGAATGCTAAGTTCGAACCATCAATTCATCGAAACCCTTGCATTTCAAATTTAAATCTGTCACTTTCAGTGGTTTAAGCAGATGACATGCATTGCAACTCTCTTTTATATTTCAAACTAAAACAAAGTAATTTTTCTCTCCCTGTACATGTTAAAGTGTAATTGACTGACTAAAAGATCTCGAACAGCAGGTGAAAATATCAAAGTCTTCAGGCAATAGCTTTAATAACAGCTTTGAAAAAATCTCCAATTAATTTGAAATACATTAAAGCCAATTTTTTTTGTAACAGCTGATAATGCTCGTTTCCTACTATGATGAAGTGCAAATTTAATTTTTGAGGGTGGGTGGTAGTGGGGTGGCTTGGTCAACTGGTATTTTATGCTCCAAGTTTTTATCTTTTTTTTACCTGACAATTCATAATTGACTGCATGCATCTCACACATCTACATGTGTCAATCTGGGTTTTGTTATTATCATCAAAAGAAATTGCAGTGATTGTAAAATAGTTTTCTTGTCTTTTAGTGTGCATTTCTGCCCAATTCTTCTTAAGAAGAAGGAAATTCTAAAATGCACAACCTTACTTGTTGTGACTTCAAACAAATGATAATGATGTGAATTGCTATTTTCTGTTACCTGTTTTTTCATATGCAATGTTTTCAAGTATGTATTTTTTCTGACAATTTAAAGTAGAGCATTGCCATCAGAAATAATCTTACAAAAAATAAATACATGAAGCATGTATTTGAATTAAGTACTTGAGAATTTGGTTGTCAAGGGGTTAATCATTTGAAGAGTTTTCGTGACTCATTTTATTCCTTAATAGTAAAATCATTTTCATGTAATTTCAATTTCAATATTCAAATCGCGTTCACATTTTTTACTCTCTTTAATGCTGGTCTTTTAAAAACCAATGTTGGCTATTCATTTAAAATAACCAGTCTTTTTTCAAACTGGAAACCAAAATCAATAACAAGTTTTTAAAACGACTCGAGTAAAAGCCGATTAAAGTTATTGAAATGACAAACTTAATGAAATCTGTAAAAACATTTAGTGCTTGAATCAATATCCAATTGAACAGAACTTTTGTTAATTTCAAAGTATTACATGCATGCTTTTCGATATTTCACGGGAACTAAATGGGCTCTAAAAATTTCTATTGCTTTTATAATGATTCCAAATTGTTGGAAAAGTTAATGAAAAAAGATTTATTTATTTTTTCACAATCGTGAGAGGTTTAATTTTGCGTCAAATTGTATATGATTTATGGGATGGTTGGTTTTCACTGAAGACACAACCAACAAAAGCATTGATTAGATACGACTTATTTTGACAAAGCACGATTGATTTTTCTCTGTAATATCTCAGTGACGTGTCCTATGAAATTATGGGTCTAAATTCAATGTAAAGTAGATTATGTCCGAGATTGAAAAATGAATAACAAGTGATTATACAAAATCAATAGAGCCCCATATTGGTTAAACGGACACTGTCACTTTATAATGTATAGAGTCATGTAGCGTAGTTTTTCTTGTACATGATTGTCCTTGACCTCTTAATTGTTATGGCATGATTGGAAATATTTACATACCTTCTAAACGGTCTTTTGGACAGTTGAACAATGAGGAAGCGAAAAGTTATCTTGTTATTAAAGAAATGCCATTTTTTTCCCTATAAATTCTATTAGTAATAATTCGATAGTGACTTCTGAGGTCATAGAATTTTCCACAATTGGGCAGAATTTGAGCACACAGAAAGTACCTTTCTGATGGTAAACATATCTGAAGCACTTGTCAGCACCATAAGCTTATGTCCAATAAATCATATGATATTTGACCAAAATCCATCATTTTAGATCTCAAAGTATTAGAAGTAGGACCAGGGAATGAAGAAAGAAACCCAGAACAAATTGGGCTTTAATGCCTCCATAATTGATACACTACATGTTAATGCAGTTAGATAACTTAAAATTATAAAGTAGGTCAAAATTTGGGAAAGTTGTCTGTTATGTGCTTTTTCAAATAAATAAGATGTATTTCCAAAGTTGTTTAGACATTGAAATTCTTGTACTGTCATTCTGATTTGAAGCTAAAAGTGACCAATTCCTTTCAACAGACTAAAGACTTTCAAAGTGATTATGTATTTCTATACATGATAAATTCTATTTATATTGGTCATACAGTATTTACCAACATTTTGACACCCAAGATTCAAGAATGGCAAATTGAGTTTTTCTTCCACTAAGTCTCTGATAAGGTGACATTTCACTATATATTAATAGTAATTAGGCTTGTAAAAGCCTCAGGATCTCCTTTGTTAAAATGGACATTATAAAATAAAGTTTTTAAGTCCAAGTCTAATAGGTTATAATAAAACGTAGATTAAGGTTCCATATTTCAGGCTTAGAAACAAAATCTGCGGACTTTACTTTCCCAATTTATGTCTGATTTCATTATACTGAAACAAAATTGAAGAAAATTGTGAAATTTACTCTTGTAAAGCCATTCGAGACAGCTCTAAATATCTTTACATTCAGAAAGAACCTCGTTAAGTGAGTCCTTCTTGTTTAAATTCATTTCAGGAGGAGACTTTCAGAAACTTTGTTCTGAGTTAGCACATGGGCCTTCAGTCATATTTCGAAAAGTTCTATTTCTAAACTAGCTGTCTTGATAAGGATGTTATATCCAAATATATCTCCAACACCATGAAAATTGAAATTTAAGAGCACCAACATTTTCTGAACGTTAATTTTTCAGGTACATGTATTAGTACAGGAAACCAACATGCTGCTGATTCTACATCTAATTCAACATCTGATTTGCAAAAGTAAGTTTATTCCTAACTAACTGCCGTTTGGAATGATATTTTTTCGTTTGAGCTCAAGTATTTTCTATTAAATTAAATTACATGTAATAAAGTTTTTATGCAGTGCTCTGCATTGGCCTTCACCAGCTTTCCTACAAAATTTTTTGAAAATATTTGAAAATTAAATGACATTTATTTGTGAAGGCTTGGCATTCTCTTAAAACTGGAGTTTGGAAAGAAACATTTCTTTATAGAAATTGATTGAATATTTCTCCTATTTATAGAGCTAATGAGATACCAGATGAAACTGAAGATAAGACTCAACTAGAGGTAACATTGTATTTAAATATGATATCTTTTCTATTTCTTTCTATAATATTCAATAAATATTTAAACCTCTTACAACATTCTATAATCTTTTCTTTACTTTACCCATCACAATTACATAGGTTTCAATCTAACTTTTGCATAACCCAGTCTCTAGTTTAAGTCCGTTTAAAGCCAGTACAGATGGCATTTTGAGCATGGTTTAGTCCTTAATCCTGATTTAATATTTTCTTCAAGTATCCACATAAAATAATCAATAAAGAACTCAAGACCGGATTAACTTGAATGTTACAAATGTGGCTTAATGAGGAAAATGGAGGATATATTTATGTAAATTGTTATTTTATGTAGAATCTAGCAGATAAAGACAAGGAGGGCAATGATTCACAAGAATTTTCTAATTGTTCTCAAGAGATAGGAGCTACTGGTGGCAAGCTTTCACCTGTTTCAGAGGACAAAAGTGCAGATGAGGAGGAAAAAGTGATTGAGGATTCAAATACAAACATTGATCCTAAAAACCCAAACAGTCCTGAAGAAGGAGAGTGTAGCCCTGGCCCAAAACCTGAAGGTGATGGTGCTGAATTGATTCCCATGTTAACCCAAAATCACATGGAGTTATTAGAACTAGAAATGAGGGCCCGTGCCATCAAGGCCATGTTAAAAGCTCAAGAATCTCACACCAGTGAACAAACTTGAATACATTGAGGCGTATTTCTGTCCAAAATGGGTGAACATGACATACGAATCATATGATACAATGGCATTTCAGCAATGGATTTCATTTTGCAGCTAAAATGGCATGTTTGTAAGCAAAACATTCTATTCATTTTGCTCTAAAGAGGGTCAGCTCAAATGTTTAAGGTGTATTTGTTACAAGATGGCTCTAAGACATGCAATTGAAAGAGCAATGATTCCTTTTCTTCCAGTATGTCCAATGCTTTTACGCCTTTTCATTAGAAGTACATTTTTGGTCTAAAAGGTGGTCTTCTGGATTACATGGTACAAAATAAACACTAAGACTTCATCCATTCCACATGTTTCTTGTTATTTTGTAATTTGCACATAAAATCATTCATCCATTCATTTTGTTTCATCCATTCAATAAAAGTTAATGTTTTTATGTCTGATTTGATTTATTTCATTTGGGATACAAGGCATAGTATGTAGACGTTAGGAGTACAAGGATTAGGTTTGGAGCTAGCTCCCTCAGAGCATCATGGTAAATACTTTTTTGAGGAATAATAAAACAGATTTACATCATCTTATTCCCAGAATTTCATCCTGTTTTTTTATTTCTCACTCCCAAAAATTTCATCCTTAACTGCTTTGTTTCTTATTCTCAAAGAATTCATCCTTAACTGCCTTGTTTCTTATTCCCAAAGAATTCACCCTTCATGCTTTGTTTCTTATTCCCAAAGAATTCATCCTTAACTGCTTTGTTTCTTATTCCCAAATAATTCATCCTTAACTGCCTTGTTTGTTTCTAATTCCCAAAGAATTCATCCTTCATGCTTTGTTTCTTATTCCCAAAGAATTCATCCTTAACTGCTTTGTTTCTTATTCTCAAAGAATTCATCCTTAACTGCCTTGTTTCTTATTCCCAAAGAATTCAACCTTAACTGCTTTGTTTCTTATTCCCAAAGAATTCATCCTTAACTGCTTTTTTCTTATTCCCAAAGAATTCATCCTTAACTGCTTTGTTTGTTTCTAATTCCCAAAGAATTCATCCTTCATGCTTTGTTTCTTATTCCCAAAGAATTCATCCATAACTGCTTTGTTTCTTATTCACAAAAAAATCATCCTTAATTGCTTAGTTTCTTATTCCCAAAGAAATCATCCTTAACTGCTTTGTTTCTTATTCTCAAAAAATTCATCCTTAACTGCTTTGTTTCTTATTCTCAAAAAATTCATCCTTAACTGCTTTGTTTCTTATTCTCAAAAAATTCATCCTTAACTGCTTTGTTTCTTATTCTCAAAAAATTCATCCTTAACTGCTTTGTTTCTTATTCTCAAAAAATTCATCCTTAACTGCTTTGTTTCTTATTCACAAAAAAATCATCCTTAATTGCTTAGTTTCTTATTCCCAAAGAAATCATCCTTAACTGCTGTCTGTTCATAAAACAAGAATTTCAAAGGCTGAGATTTTTCAGAAATATCTATGAATACAAAGGTTTAAAAGCTTAATCAGAGAGAAATATCTCTAAAACAAGGACCAAATCGAGAACTTGTGATCAAATAGTAATGAAAGTCTTATAGAATGAAGTATAGAAAATCAGACATTTATTTTAGCATCATTGTTCATTCCGGACATTGTCTGAAAATAGCCAGACAAAGTAATTACAGTTGCCCTAGGAAAATATGTGTATTAAATGATCAAGACATTTAATTTCATGTTCACTTGGTAGGAAAGTTGGAAAAAGAAGAATGGAAGAGATTTTATAATGAAATAAAAAATCTTGTGTCCTGAAGCCATGAAATTTCAAAACTCATTATCTAATTAACTTAGGGAAGAGAAATTGGGTTGAAAATACTTCTTGATAAATTCTAATTAATGGAAATATCCTGTGGAAATATTTCAAGAATTTGAAAAAAAATGTTCCAGACTCCCAATTAAATGGTAGAATTATTCTGGCCTGAAGGTTTTTATTAATGCTATTGTAGCAACATATTTTTATATCATTGAGACATTAGTCGTGTTTACAGTGTTGACTAAAATTGTTAACCGACTTTTTTTTTAATGCCCTGATATTAGATTCTTAGTATTTTAACAGTAACAATCAAATGTATTTCTCCACACATTTAAATGTGCACAAAAACGGTATCAACGTCATAAGATACAGAAATACTAATATCATTGAAATATCAGATATATCATACATCAGGAATATTGCTGCTAGATAAACAGAAATATTGTAACAATTAACGTTATCACCAAGGTGATATTTATACAACAGAAATACTGTTACCATTGAAATATCAGATATACCATACACGTCACAGAAATCGTCTTTCTAGTAATCACAAAGATGGTATTTTATATTAGGAATATTGCTGCTAGATAAACAAGATAAACAGCAATATTGTAATCATTGACGTAATCACAGATGTACAGCCATACTGTTACCATTGAGATATCAGAGAGACTATACCAACAAGATAAACAGATAAACAGCGTCGCTATTAACGTAATATCAAAGGTGGTATTTATACCACAGAAATACATATTCCATTGAGATTTTTGAAATAAATATACCATTGGGATATCAGAAGTAACAATACCATCAAGAAACAGTAGTGCCACCACTAACGAAATTGTGTAATTAAGCAAAATGCCTCACTTGGTTTATTTTAAGTCAACCAAGACCCCATTATGCCCCATTTTTATACGCCCACATAGAAATGTGGACGTATATTGCCGTCGCCACTGTCCGTCGGTCCGTCAACATTTCTTGTGAACACAATAGAGACTACAGTTTTCAAATGATTTCAATGAAATTTGGTGTGATCATTTATATTGATGGGGTCTTGGTCAAGTTCAAATTTGACGATCTTTCGATGAACGGTTTTTTAGTTATTGCCCTTGACTTAGGAAAAACGCGTCAAAATTTGTTTGTGAACACAATAGAGACTACAGTTTTTAACTGATTTTAATTAAATTTGGTGTGATCATTTATATTGATGATAATATCTTATTCAAGTTCGAATTTCATCTTTCGATGAACGGTTTTTGAGTTATTGCCCTTAAATTAGGAAAAACCGCGTCAAAACTTGTTTATGAACACAATAGAGACTAAAGTTTTTAACTGATTTTAATGAAATTTGGTGGGTATCATTTATATTGATGATATCTTGGTCAATTTCGAATTGGACCATATTTCGATGAACGGTTTTTGAGTTATTGCCCTTGACACTTGATACTACAGTTTTCAACTGATTTTAATGAAATTTGGTGTGATCATGTATATTGATGCGATAATTTGAGTTATTGATATTGATTTTTAAACATTTTGTATAATTTTTCAGTATAAATAAATGGCAGTAAATATATATATCGTTGAATTCAAACTATTAAAAATTTCTTTAACATGAGAAAATTCATACTGTAGTCACTAAAGACTGTTTAATCATTTCTGACAGCTGTCAGTGGGCGTATGTTGCCTTGCCTGGCAAGCTATCTTTCACTTAGGTTGGGATACGGCCTTACTCCCATAGATATGAGATAAGAAGCCAAAAATATTGGAGGGATAACCGGGTGATTGGTTATTTTCAAAACTGGAACAAGTAATCAAGTTTTATTAAAAACAAATATCAGACGCATTAAAAAGTTGAATATAATGGGTCCATTACAAACAAATATAATATACCATTATTATCCTGGATAATGTACTTAAATTCTATAGATATATAGAACTATCATAATAATTATACACTAGAAATCAGCATCACATTGAAGACCGGTTTCAACTATCATCAATTCCAAATTCAGCAAAACTTTCGTCACCATTTGGACAGGTATATGTCGGTTCTCTGCTATCATTTGACAAAATATGTTAGTGGATGCTACTTTAGGAAACCAAATCTCTATTAGATCTTAAGAGAATATAAATATTTGCTTTCAGCTGGAGCAAACCCATATAACTTTCAAGCTGACGTACGATTCGTCTATAATGAAAAAGGGAAGTGCAAACTATTCCCTCAATAACGTTTTCGATAAGACTTTCTCTGGTAATAGTACTAATACTAAAAAGTTGTCAACATATTATTGGAGAAATAAGAGTAGATCGGGGTTCTTCAACCAATCATAGCACACAGGACATAAAGTATTCAATTTCTCCTGTGTCATGGTCTAAAATTCCACTAAAAATACGGCCTGGAAAAAAATTCTATGTGTAGACAGAACTTAAAATCAGGTTTATTTTAGATGGCATGTTTTGATATAATTGAAATAAAGAGTTAAATCCATTAAAAAGTCAATAAAAGATAGATAAATAAATGATTGATAAAGCAGATATTTCAACCTATATTTTACCAATCAATAATTTCAATAGAGTAAAATTTAATCTACATTTCATCAATTTGATGTATTAAAAATTCATTGTTGTGGAAATGTAATTAAGTTAAACCACGCGATGTGTCTCGGTCATTTCAAATTTTTCATATAAATTTCATTGATTTGTGAAATCTAAAGAATTATTTTCTCCTATAAATACCTATAGCTTTCTGATTATTACCACGTTTCTTCTTCCTGGTGTTCTACTTTTTCTTGTCAATTGATTTAAAGTCATCTATTCGTCTTTATTAATGGCTATACCATTTCATAGAGCTTAATTCCAGCTATCCGTATCTCTTTTCGAAATGTTAATTCAACTTCAGGTTATCTTGAAAAATCTGAAGGAGAATCTAAGTAATAAAATAACTACATGTACATGTATTGATATTGCATTAGCTCTTAATAATGATATACAAAATACATGTGTATGTCATGTTATAAGAAGGAAGTAGAAAGTCTGAATATCGTTGAATTTCTGAACTTTATGACAGCTTATCCCATCTTAAGGCGTATTTGCAAAGATAATGAAAAAGATAAGCAGTTTTCAAAGGCCTACACAAGCCAAGAAGACATATGTTTTTGTCTATATGACCATTTTAATAGCTGAAATACATGTACATAACAAACGATTTTAAAGTTAAGTTTGTTCAGCATTAAAAGGGAGATAATAATAAATAAAAAATAATAAAGAAAATTACCAACAGCATTTCCTGATTTTAAAGATTCATTTGACATAGTTGTATTTAGCAGGCTATTAAATATATGACTTTGAATGTTTATCCTATTCGAACATTTTTTAATTTGGACCTACACTTGCTCGCGGAGAAAGCGTAATAGACGCGATTTGGTAACTGATCCTTTGACTAAAAGCTTCTATTAATTAAGTTCAAATAATGGCCTAGGCTACATAAATACCAGGACAATGTATCTAATGATGTCGGATATATATATTCTTAGATACATGTAATAGACATACACGTAGGCACTAATAAAATGCATAGATAGCCCAATAGTGACAAGGTAGTATTTTTGTAGTGAATTGTGATCAAAGGGAGATAAACACGATTTTA